AAACCAGCCAGGGCTGAAGAACTTCCTTTAACATTTCTTATAGAGTGAATGAGGCAATGAATTCTCTCAATCTCTGTTGGTCTGATAACATCTTTATTTCATCTTCATTTTTAGAGGATATTTTCACTGGGTACAGAATTTGAGGTCAGCAGATTATTTTTTCTCTCAGAACTGAAATGATGTCATTCTGTGGTCGTCTGGTTCTCCAAAGGTTCTTTTCCAACTTAGCAATAGTGTTATTGTTGTTTCTTTGCAAGTATGTGTATTTGCTCTGGCTGCTTTTAAGTTGTTCTGTTCATCTTTGGTTTTCTGCGACTTGACTATGATATGCCTATGGTTGGTTTTCTATTTATCTTACGTAGGGTTTGCTAACCTTCTTGAATCTTTGAGTTGTAGTCTTTCATGTTTTGGCAAATTCTCAGTGATTATATCTTCAGATATTACTTTCCCATTCTCTTCTTTCTGGGACTCCTGAAACACACACACCAGGCTGTCTCACTGTGTTCTACAAGTCTTGAATGCTCCCTTCTGTTCCCCCAGCCCCGCCCCACTCCCCTTTTCCACTATGTGCTTCATTTTGGATATTTTCTGTTTGCTGTCTTTGAGTTATATACTCCTATCTTTTGCTGGTTGTCTGTTGTTAAATCTGCCCAGTGAATTTTTATTTTCTAAGATTTTGTATTTCAGTTCTAGAATGTCCATTTTTTTTTCTCTGGAGATTTTCTCTTTTGAAATTATTCATCTTTTCGTTCATTTTGTCCATCTTTTACTCTACTTTCTTGAACATATTTGAATAGTTATTTTGAAATTTTTGACTCCTAACTCCAACGCATGGATCATCTGTGGGATTGCTTCTATTGTATAGTTTTTCTAATTATCAGATATTTTTCCTACCTCTTCAAATGTCTTATAATTTTTTTTCTTGATTGTATCATGTATGTTGTGCAAAAAATAGAGACTGAAGCCAATATTATTTCTCCCCAGTTAGGATACATAATTCTTATTAGGTAAATAAGGTGAGGGACTAATCATCTCAATTCTGTTAGAAACTGAGCTGTGTTGTGGCTTTAGACTTAGTCCACCTCTGGTTTCAAATGTGTCAAGATCAGGATCTTTTCCCTTCAGGAAGTGGAGAGTATTTGCCCCCACAAACACTGACCCAAGGCTGGCCTGTCTCTCACTTCGATCAGCAGAGTGTGGTTGGTGACACACTGCCTTGAGCGGCCACGTAAGGTCCAGATACCCTCCTGGAGAGACCATATGGAGCGCGCACGAGAGAGAGAGAGAGAGAGAGAGAGATATGCCTGGCCAGCCTCCAGCTTTTCCTGCCATCCCAGTGAGCTGTCAGACATGTGTGTAAAGCCATCTTTGATTTCTAGCCCCGGTTGAATCTCTAAATGACTTCAGCTTTATGAATGGACCTAGCTAAACCCATTCCAGGTTGCAGAACTATGAGCAAAAATAAATACATGACTATTGTTCTAAGTCACTCAATTTTGAGGTAGATTGTTATGCAGCAACAGATGACCAAAACACAGAGTATCTGAGATATGGTGAGTCTTCCAATAAGTGTTTGTTAAATTAAATTTAATTGTAAGAGATTAATAGGTAGTTAGACTAGATGACCCTCATAGTCCTCCCTCACACTGAGATTCTATGGTACCAAGATCATTAATGACTCTGTATTATGCCATTACTTCCTCTACTTCTATTGATAAATGAGAGTTGGATCTAGATGAGATATAGTTAAATCCTTGGGTGTCTTAGTCCATTTAGGCTGCTGTAGCAAATTACCACATGCTGGGTAGTTTACAAACAAGAGGAATTTATTTCTCACAATTCTGGATGCTAAGAAGTCCGAAATTAAAGAGCTGGCAGATTTGGTGTCTGGTGAGAAGCCATTTCTTGGTTCATAGGTGGCCCTTTCTTGCTGTGTCTTCACATGGCAGAAGGGAGGAGGAATCTCTTTGAGGCCTTTTACAAGGGCAATAATCCCATTAATAATTAGAAGGGTGACCTGATCACCTTCTAATATCATCATCTTGTGGGTCAGGATTTCAACATATGGATTTGGGGGAGGAAACAAACATTTAGACAGTAGCATTCTACCCCTGACCCCTCCCCCCAATTCATGTCCATCTTACATGTCATCAACTCAAAGGTCTAAGTCCACAGTCTCCTCTAAATCAGATAGGGTGAGACTCGAGTTGTGATCATTGGGCTTTGTGATATCTAACATATTTAGAGTCGTGATATCTAACAGATTTAGAGTCAGCAACCTACGGTCACCTATTTTGACCTGTCTCCTTTCCAAACCTACTTTTCTGCAGTTCTATTGATTCTACTTAGTTCTTCACACATAAAAATCACACCCCGGACCCCATACACTATAGAACATAAGCTGCTTTGAGGCTTTTTATTCAGTAATGAAGAGAAATTTGTGCTAAGACGTCTTCACTTTTAGATCCCGTCTGTACTAGTTTTTCAGTCTTTAGAATTGTTCTCCAGTTTCTCATTAGAGAGAGAAAAACTTCAATGATGACAATGCTATGAAAAGCAAGCTAACCAACCCAACCATAGCATTTTTAAAGTTTGAAATGTCTTCGAATATTGGATGATCTGTATTTTGGAACCACATTCAGCTTTCTGTTACTCACTTTACTAGTTACTACTTATGATCAATTAGCCCTTTTTCTTTATTTTATTACTGTGGAAGAGGCTGGGTGCTGTGGGTTTATAGCAGAATATTTTTTAAAGATAGACTGTAGTCCCAGCATCCGGCTGGTCTTTCTGAGGTCAAGCATCAAAGCTAATCCAAAGTTTAGCTTTGCTGCAGTTGTACCAGGAAGGACCAAATTCTAAACTGTGCCGCTTGCCACCCATGTGCCAGAAGCCATGGATTCAGTGTTTAAAGACCTTCCTTTCACAGGAACGTGGGAATAGACGGAGCCGACGTGAGAGGGCGGCAGCCCACACAAACCGGACTCTCCAGGCACTTTCTTTCTCATTTTAAATGTGAAGTGTTTTTTTGGTTTTTCCATTTCTGTGCTTGTCCTGCCACCCTGACAGTTCATTTCTGGGTTGACCCAGTTTCTGGTTGAGCCCTTGGTACCATGGTAATTACCCTTAGGCTCCATCTGGTTGTGCCCCTGGGCACCCAGCTTCTGTACTCACCCATGGTCACCACTCGGTCCATTGGGCTCTGCCCTCCTGACAGTCACTGGAACTTGCTTTAAGCCTAACTCCTACTTACCCTTCAGACGCCAGGCCACATGTCATTACCGTAGGAAGATAGTTTCATGTCCTCCTGATGTTTGCCCTTGGAGTTTCCTGTATTTTACCTTCAAGGTACTTATCACAATTTATAATTATTGTTGTCATCTATGCTGCTCATCTTGTGCCTTCAGCACCGAGGGCAGTGTGTGGCACACAGTAGGAGTTCAATAAACGTGTTGAGTAAGCGTGAATAAATGAAGCTTGTGAATGGGGCCCCCACCTCTTTTAGCATGAAATTTTATCTGATCTGGGGCCAATTATAAAGCTTATCTGAGCCTTGGTTTATGCAGGGATAATGTTCATCTACTCCACGGTTTGGGGTGTTATCTATGTAGCAGGTGCTTAGTAAATGTTTGTAGAACGAGTGAATGCACTTGTTATTTCTGTAATAATAATATATATATATATATATATTTTAATTTATTGTTGACAGTATTACAGATGTCCCGAGACATCTATATTTTAACAAGAATTTCCTTCAGGAGAAATCGAGTACCCAAGCAAGAGGAATTGTGTTTACTGAGTGAGAAATAAAATTCAGAATTCCATGTACCTTTGCCCAAGGGTCTGTATTTCTCTTCCGGTTGTAACAATACTAGATTTTTTAAATGGGAGACAGGGAATTTTTTGAATGGATTGGACCAAATTCATAATAATTGACTTTTCCAATTTCTAAAGGGTGAGTGTCTGTCACAGATTTTATTTTATTTTATTTTATTTAAAGACTTTGTTTTATTGACTTTCAGAGACAGAGGAGGGAAAGGGAGAGAAACATTAATGTGAGAGTGAAACATCAATTGGCTGCCTTGTGCACACCCCCTACAAGGGATCAAGGCCACAACCACCCAGGCATGTGTCCTGACCAGGAATCAAACTGGCAACCTTTTGGTGCACAGGACAACAACCAACCAGTTGAGCCAGGGGTGTCACAGATTTTAACTAAGTTTGGTCCACCAAAAAAGAGTATAGGCTCTGGATTGCAAGCACCTTAAAAACCTATAAGAAAGAAGCAATGGTGAATGTGAATCTGAAGACCAGGGAGAGTTCTAGAGCTAACACTCTCATCAACTGGTACAGCTGCTTGGCCTTGTGAAACACGGGCAGGATAAGACACTGACCTTGGAGATATGGCAAAAGTGCTTTCAGCCTAACAATTTCTTGTCCTACAAGCCTCAGAGGCTGGCCTAGCTTATGCTGCCTATTTCTACCACCAGTGCAGTAAAGATGCATGTGAAATACAAATGCTACCCAGTTTCTCTTTTTCTATCTCATCCCTTCACCATGTCCACCCACTTCTGCTATTTCTCCCACCCATTTCCTTAGCCATTCAGAATAGAGAGAAGGGAGGAAATGCAGGAAGGGTCCAAATGTAACTAATTATATATTTTATTTGAGCCTCTTTGGAGAAAGGAGAACAAGCTGAGAGGAGTAAGTTAGAGATGATCTGATAAAAACCCCAGAGGTGCAGAATTTGTGAAGAAGGATAACCTTCACTAGAATATCTGCTGAAGGTGAAATGAGGTGAGCCTGGAGAGGGAATTCAGAGGTAATTCTTGGTATTGAGCATTGTGCTCTGGAGTGAGATCACACTGCTGCACAAGGAGGGACAGTGCTAGAGGAGTCCCAAAGCAAGGACTGCTGCTTTGTAACTAGTCTCGGGCTCCTGATCAAGTGGACCCCACTCGGGTGGGAGGCTTTGTCAAGGAAATCTGACCCTTCCTCTCCTACGGATCCTCAGTGTCACCTTCCTTAGGTGAATAGGAATTTGTATGTAGAACACCCTTCTTGTCCACTGACCATGTCCTAAGCTGGCTTGGGGAGTTGGAAGACCAATACTTATGAGGAAAAGTCTGAGATCTTGGCCTGTATTTGGGACTAGGCTCAGGCTCAAACTCCAGCTCCAGCTCCGTCTCGGGCTCAGGCTCAGGCTCGGGCTCCGTTTCGGGCTCCAGCTCAGATTCAGGCTCCATCTCGTGATCCAGATCCAGCCCAATCTCTGGTTCCGACTCCGTTACGGGCTCCAAGTCTAGCTCTGACTCTTCCACTACTGCTGGCCTTAGCATCTTGGCGAAGCCAGGACTGACATTTTTGGGGATTTCTAGAAGGCTGCTGCTTATGTTATGTGGTGATTCTGCATCCTGAAACACATATAATTAGATGGGTTAGAATTTCCAATTAAATTTAACTTTTGAATAGTCAAGGAATCTCAGAATACATCAGGACTTGCAGTACCAGAAATCACGAGTTCCTAGCAAAAGAGAAAAAATATTTCTGGCCTAAATCTGTTTCTTATTTCCTTTGCACCCTCCGGTTCCTCAGTTACTCACGATCCTTTAGGCGCAATCAATCCATAAGTCCTGATTTCTCTGAATTTTCTAACTAGCCTGGATTCATGGCCAACCATTTGAACAGCAATGGCCTTGGCAGCCTTCTGAAACACCTCATCCTGCTGGTCTCACTTGCCTTCCAACCCTCAGTGTAACCCTCCGCAGGGCACGAGGGCCCTTGGTGACCTGGCCTCTTGCGTCTTCTTTAGCTTTATCTCCATCTGCAGTCCCCACCCTTCGCTCTAACCATGCAGTTCACTGAAGAAGCCTGACTACTGCTCATGTCGCTCCCTGTGCCTGCCCTGTCCTCCACCCTCTCAGCCACATACACTTACTCATTGTTCCAGGTTCATGTAGAAGATCACTAACCAGGATCTTAGCTTCCTTTGTGTTCCAACTGTACCTCACTCACACCTCTATGATAGTACCAGTAATGTATCGCCTTACGCTCTTACAGATCTGTCTCCCCTGTTAGACTCTAAACTCTTTGAGATAGGGCAGGGCCTGGTTCCTGATATGCCCAGTACCGGGCACTGAGCCTGTCACGTAGATGCCCCGCGGGCTTCGTGAACCGGCCTTGCAGCAGCATTCCACAGCATGAACACCTGTCACCCTTCCTGAAACATTATCTTCTCTTCCACTATATGACACTCTTTCATTTGCCTCCTTCCTTCCTGGTTGCTTCTTCCTGGTCTCTCTGTTGTCTTTTCTACTTCTTCTGGACTTCCGAATGTTGGCATGCCCCAAGGCTTGACCCGGGGCCCTTGTCTTCTCTATCTACACTGTCCCCATAAGCAATTTTATTTAGTCCCATAATTTTTATTATTATCTATGTGCTGATGATTTTTTGGTTATAACCCTTCCCCTGATCTCCTGCTTCATATACCCACTTCCATTCTTGACATCTCCACTTGGATATTTAATAGGCATCTTGAATTTAATGCATGGGAATGGAACATTTTTCTCTCCTAGTCTTCACTAGTTTAAATGCTAGGGAAAAAAATCGATATATTCAATACCAAGTCTTAAGCTCTGATAAACATGTTAGTAAACTAGAAAAGTACCTTTAAAAAACATAGTAAATATAATGTCCGTCTTAAGCCAACTATTACCACCATCCTTAACAGAGAGACATAGAAGCTTTTCTCATTTAACTCAGGAGTATGACCAGACTCACCATTATTACTTAAATCGTTTTGGGAGGTCTAGCTAATGCCATAACATATACTAAAATAAGAATTCTAACAACTGGAAAATAGGAGATTTATATTATTTGGAGAAAATATTTTTTATCTAGAAAACTCAAGAGAATCGACAATGAAAACTTTTTGGACTAGTAAAAGAATTTACAAAATGACCAAATAATTTAATAAAAATCAACAGATTTCCTATATATTTGTAGTTGCCAGTTAGAAAATATAATGAAAAAGATGAATAATTTTAAATGGCAATAAAAATGTAAAAGATAGAATATGAAGTATCTAGGATTTGTCTATATGAAGAAAGCCACAAAATCTTAGTATAAATACAACAGTGAAAAAGACTTCCCATATAGAAAAAATATGCTCAAATCTAGATATGGGGGAAAAAGTTATTCTGGATAAACAGAGGCATATAACCTGTGAGAATTCTCAACAAAAGTAGGGACATACTTGGCAATACATTACTTAGAGAAGGAAAATAGCTAAGCTTGGCTGTCTTTTACTTTATTAAAGTTTCTATAAACACTTATTACTCTGGTAATTCCTTTTTGTCATAAAAAACTCAAACATTATTTAAATTTAGTAAGTCAACAAATCAGGGGTTTAATTAAAAATAATTTCCAGTTATTAGGTGAGATTTTGGTGCCTATCTGTGGTTTAATTTTCTTTTTGGGGGGAAGTCATTAACTTTCATAGATATTGATTTGAAAACACTGAAGTAGACCTAGGCCTTTACTTAATATTAATAAATGGCTAAGCCTGGCCGGTGTGGCTCAGTGGTTGAAAGCTGACCCATGCACCAAGAGGTCGCCAGTTCGATTCCCGGTCAGGGCACATGCCCAGCCAGTCGATATTCTCTCTCATCGATGTTTCTTTCTTTCTTTTTTTTTTAATCCTCACCTGAGGACACTTTTCCATTTTTTATTCAGATAGAGTGGGAGGGAGGAAGAGAAAGAAAGAAACATCAATGTGAAAGGGACACATCGAGTGGCTGCCACCCGCACGACCCGACCAGGGCCGGGGACAAACTGCAACCGAGGTACGTGCCCTTAGCGGGAACCGAACCCGGGTCTCTCCCGACCGCAGGCCGACGCTCTAACCGCTGAGCCAGACCGGCCAGGGCTCTCATCGATGTTTCTATCTCTCTCTCCCTCTGCCTTCCTCTCTCTCTAAAAATCAAAAAGAATTTTTTTTTTTTTAAAAAAAAGACTTAAAATTCTGGCGTGTATATCATTTTTCTTTGCATTTGGTCAAGTTGAGTAAATCATATTATTCACAATGGAAATAATAGCCAAAGTGTTAGCTCTTCACCTCTGTGACTTCATCAGTTTTACTATTCATCTCAAGGGTGGGTGGGATGGATTCTAAAGGCACTGCTAGGGGAGATGTTTAAAATATTTAGTTACTGCCCTGGCCGGTTTGGCTCAGCGGTTAGAGCATCGGGCTGCAGTCCGGAGAGACCCGGGTTCCTTCCTCCTAAGGGCGCGTACCTCGGATGCAGTTTGTCCCTGGCCCTGGTTGGTCATGTGGGTGGCAGCCACTCGAGGTGTCCCTTTCATGTTGATGTTTCTCTCTTTCTTCCTCTCTCTCCCTCCCACTCTATCTGAACAAAAAGTGGAAAAATGTCCTCGGGTGAGGATAAAAAAATAAAAATTAGTTACTGATATGGCACCGGCACTAACCAAGTTTTCTGCAGAAGGGCGTTGAGGCCTCTGCAGGTTGGGTAACCCTCTCTTCAGCTGGGAAAGGGCCATTCAAATGCCGTGGCAATGGGGGAACCTGAGACTCAGGTCCACTGCTATTTACCAACTAATAAGGGAGCATTTCAACATCTCAAAGTCTGGCACGGTCATACTCAAAAACCTTTCCTGGAGGGTGCTCAGCTCTCTCTGGTCAGGTGTCTCCCACTATCACTACTGCCACGTCACTCCCCACCTCACCCCTCACCCTGGTGCTCCACATCATCCAACCTTATCTGTTTCTGAGTACGTTTCCTGTATCACTGTCTCAGATTCGTCCGTGCTTAACTCGGAGGGCTCTTGGAACTTCCTTGACAAGGCAAACAGCACAGCGTCATGGAGGGTGAGGAACAGTTGGGCCTTGGTGATGCCAGCATCAAAGAAGTCATTCCTCTCAAAGGCCCTGACCACCGAAGCTACAAACCAAACCCAGAACACACACAGGGTCAGATACTGGGAGGAGAGCGCCCAGGGTGCAGAACACAGCCCTCTCACAGGGTGAGGCATACTCACAGTCACTCCCTGCAATGAGCACCAGGATGTTGGCGTTGTAGAAGGCATTGCACATCTGCAGGGAGGAAGTAAATCCGTGTTAGGGACCCTCACACTGACTAGGAAAGTGAGCCTTCTAATTGGCTGGGTTGTAAAATCCCTTTGGTTATTCACTTGTCTGGTATAAATATACCTTTATATACAATTTAGCTCTGTAAACATTAAAAAAAAATTTTTTTTTTCTTTATTGATTTTAGAGAGAGAAAGAGAGAGGGAGATAGAGATAGAAACATCAATGAGAGGCATCGATTGGCTGCTTCCTGTGTGCCCCCCTCTGGGGATCAGGCCCACAACCTCAGCATGTGCCCTGACTGGCAATAGAACCAGCAACCTCTTGGTGCATGGGTCAACACTCAACCCCTGAGCCACACCGGCCAGGCTAGCTCTGTAAACATTTGATGCATGCATTTTATGAGTCAGGAAGTGTCTAAGTTGCTGGGAATGCAAAAGAGGATCAGACCATCTCACGTGGGGTGGGGAGTAAGATGGGGGGTTGCTGATGGTTTCAAGGGAAAACAGTTCTTGAAGGGAGAGAATGTCACGTGAGTACAGTGCTAAGACACAGACAGGCACGGGTGTGATGAGAACAGCTCTGTCTTGATATTAGTGCTTGTACAGGAAGAGCACGTGATCCTCTTCTCCCTGGAGTTCACTAAGCAGAGGAGGCCAACCAGGGCCCAGAGATGATCACATGATTTAGTGAGACGTGGAATTCAAGAACCCTGAGGAGGATCATACTCAGAGTTGCTCTGCCCAGTTGCATTGACTTTAGTGAAACATCAGATATTTAGTGGTATCAGATTAATAAGCATCTGATGTTGACCTCAAGTTTACCTCAGCAAAATATGTGCTCTGGGGCAATAAATAAAGTTTAATCCAAAGCAAGTCAATGTTAAACTTAATGCTCTAAGATTGAATAGACAAACCCTGAGCACTAAGTTAAAATATGCAAAACAAACAAACACAAGACCACTAAAATAGATAGACTCTACTACTTTTACTTCCAAGAGGAAAGAAAGTCATTCTTGATCATGTGGTAAATCATAAAGTCATGTGGTAAAGAGCCACAGTGGAATGGACATACTCTAAATGACAAGCAATGGGAGACCGAAACCCCATGAATTAGGAAGAAGCTTACATTGAGTGGTTGTCTCTAGTAAGAACGACTGCTGGGATTTTTCTTATTAAGTTTAACTTTTCAATTATAATATTTGAAATTATTTCTTTCAATATGGCTTATAGAATTACAAAATCAGTGAAGAAACCTATATATATATATTTTTTTTAAATCCCCACTCGAGGATATTTTTCCATTTATCTTTAGATAGAGTGGGAGAGGGAGAGGGAGAGAGAGAGAGAGAAGCATCAATGTGAGATGGGAGAGACACATTGACTGGTTGCCTCCCACATAACCCCAACCAGGGCCAGGGACTGAACTGCAACCGAAGTACACGCCCTTGACTAGAATCAAACCCACAACTTTTCAGTCCACAGGCCAACACTCTAACCTCTGAGCCAAACCAGCCAGGGTGAAAACTATATTTTTAAAGTGTAAAAGTGCACCATGAGCCCTGGAAGTTAGAGTGTCAGCCCATGGACCAAAGAGTCGCAGGTTTGATTCCAGCCAAGGGCATGTACCTCAGTTGTAGTTCATCCCTGGCCCTGGTCAGGGTCGTGTGGGAGGCAACCAATTGATGTGTCTCTCTCACATCAATGTCTCTCTCTCTCCCCACCTCCCTTCCACTCCATCTAAAGATAAATAGAAAAAAAATATCCTTGGGGGAGGATTTAAAAAAAATGGTGCACCATGGATCTGAAGTCTGTAAAGTGAAGGTAGGTGTCTGATGTTGCTTCCACGTTGGGGCTGGGGCAGAAAATCATCAGCATAGTCTGTGGATGGGTCACGCCAAGGACCAAAAGGCAAGAGAGGAGAGGGGCGGGCAGCACAACTGCTTTAAGTTCCAGTGATGGACAGGCCACTTACTAACTGTGAGCCCAGGACTCATAGGGGGAAATATGGCTTGTCTCTCAGGCTGTGTGAGAATTAAATAGGATCACGTATTTAAATGTGCCCAACTCAGTGTGGCATGTAGTAGGCATTTAATGATGTAGGATGAATGAACTCTAAAGCAACGGCACTAGCCTGGAAGAAGAGAACACAGCCCAGAAGGACGACCTAAGATGGAAAAGCCCGAACGACAAGACATTATCGTGTATATTTGAATCTAAAAATGGGGTGGGGAAAAAAGGTCTCATGGATGGGAAGGCCCTGGACTTTAATCTCTTCCATGCTTCTCATTTTACAGATGAGGAAACCAAGACCACAGTCAGGGGGACAGTGAGCAGAAGCCAGGGTGGAGCACACCTCCACAGACCACCCACCAGAGTTCTTCCTGCTTCGAGAAGCTTCCTACTGCCTCGGACCAAAGGGGAGCTGGATCCACTTAAGAGAGAATCCTATTTCTTCAGGAATAAGAAGGTTTGATAATATAGGATCCTAGGATAAAAGATGGACAGTCAGACAAACCACATATCTCAAGACGAGATGGGAACAGTCAGAGCCGGGAAGTGGGTGTTAGGATGCTTAAACCTGAGCCCTTGCCCACAGGGGCAAGAGTGAGATAGAAGGCTGGGAACTGATAAGCTGGCTGAAGAAAAGATACTGTGCTTATGAGACAGTGCACAACGACACCAACGTGGTTAATCGTGCATCTCCACTGTCCATATCGTGTAAGAAAGAGAGACATGAAAACTGTCAGGGAAACCAGAGAGTGGCAGAGAAGCCAGGATGTAGGGACACAACTTTTATTTTTTTTAACTGTTTTTTTTGTTTGTTTGTTTAGACAAAGGAGGGGAGAGAGAGAGAGAAAAAAACATTGACCAGTTGCTTCCTGCATGCACCCTGACCAGGGATCGACCCCACAACCTGGGTATGTGCCCTGACCTGGAATCAAGCCGACACTCTGCTGTACGGGACAACGCTCTAACCATCTCAGCCATACCCGGCCGGGGCCAGGACACAGCTTTTGAGGGAAACATCTTCCCTGCCCTTTTCACCCAGAGATGCAGTCTGTGAAGAGGGAACTGGGGATGATCCTACAGGTACTGGACCAGACAGCCCCAGGCCCCAGGTTTGGGGTGTATTCTCCTCACAATTTCTTCAGATCTGAGTGCCTTTTACCATGCGTAGCTCAGAGCAGCTGCAGAGTGGAGAATTCTTGGTAAGCTTTGTTTTCTGTAGCATTCAGACCTATCCCTTGAAAAGCTCTGCAGCTAAGTCCTAGGGTACACCAGGAGGTGCTATTTCAGTGGTGTTCAGAGTTTCCCATGGTTCATTCCTTGAGCAGTAACATGCCATACTTAGGCAACCAACCCCAGTTCCATAAATCAGAGTTGGTTCATTTTCTATTTATTCTGGTTGACCTTAAACTATCTTTAGTGTCCAAGTTTCTAGTAGCCCAGGGGTCACATAGTAGCTGATCAGTGACTAACAGGATTCAATCAGGGATTGGAGTTGGGGTTGGGGTGGTGGTGGAAGATGGGGATCAGAGCTCTTGTTAAAGCCACCTCCATACATACCTGTCTTAATACGATTGAAGCCCGTGAGTCCACAAAATGCACCATGGAGAAATCCAGGATGATGGTGTGGGTGCTGGGTAGAAGAGATGATTCTGAGCAAGGGATGGCTGATGTGTTCCCGACCTGATTGTCAGAAGCTTCAGCAAGTGGCATGGAGTTGTTTCTAGAGGGGTCCTCAGGGATCCAGGCTTTCTCCACTTCCTCGTAGTCTTGTCCTTGCTTTCTCTGAAGTGTGGCAGACGATGTGTATGGTATTTGTTCACTGGATGAAGGCTGGCTGTTCTGACTGTCCAGACGTGTGCAGCGGACCAGGTTAACGGAGGATGCCTTGTGGTTCTGCTTATTCTCATATCGCTCTGTGTACACAACCTGGGGCCAGGATCAGAGGGAGACCGCGGTAAGACTCAAGGGCTGGCAGTGCTTGCAACTATGCTTGGTCTGTCTACACCCTCACTTCTCTTCCCCTTGGGACACTCCACAGACGAGGCTCTGTACATCTTTTACCCGGGTCTCTCATCTCACTTCAGTTCATGACTGAAGAAAACAAACATTCACCATTCCTTATCCTCACAACTCACAGGCTTCCCCTCCCAACTTCCCCCCATGCATCAGTGCCGTTACTCTGGTCCCAGGGAGCCAGACTTAAAATCGTCTGGGATTTATTCCTTCCCCTCCTCCCTGGGTTCCAACTGGCCTCCAGAGCCTTCTAATGCTTTTAAGTGTTTCTTCCATCGGTCCCCTTTCTCAGCACCGCCTTCTCTCACCCGTGAAATGGTCGTCTGCCAGACTTTCTTAAGAAGACAAGCATTGCCCTGGCCGGTTTGGCTCAGCGGTTAGAGCATCGGCCCGTGGACCAGAGAGTCCCAGGTTCGGTTCCCGCTAAGGGCATGTACCTCGGTTGCAGTTTGTCCCTGGCTCTGGTTGGGGTCATGTGGGTGGCGACCACTCGATGTGTCTCTCTCACATCGATGCTTCTCTCTCTCTCTCTTCCTCCCGTTCTCCCTCCGGCTCTATCTAAAGATTAATGCAAAAAATAAAAAGACAAGCATTACTTGACCAGGGCTGTCTTTACCTCTCACCCTCTCCTCCTGGAGGCCGCCTGCCACAGCCTGAGGACACTCGCAAGCTCCAGGAACGCAATGGCCACGCCGGGGCTTCAGCCACCGGGTCCACTTTCTACTTGGGGAATGGGCACGTGTCCATTTAAAGGTTAAATAGCAACATATATGGACAAGAACTATAAGGCCCATGGAAAAATGGAAAGAATTCACATGCTAGAGTGGTATCACTTGGGGTGATGTTTCTTTAAAAATATTGTTCTAGCCCTGGCTGGTTTGGCTCAGCGGTTGGAGCGTCGGCCTGTGGTCCAGAGAGACCCGGGTTCGGTGTCCGCTAAGGGCATGTACCTCGGTTACAGTTTGTCCCCGGCCCTGGTTGGGTCGTGTGGGAGGCAGCCACTTGATGTGTCCCTTTCATGTCAATGTTTCTCTCTCTCTCTCTCTCTCTTCCTCTCCCCACCCTCACCCCCACTCTATTTGAAACAAAAAAGGAAAGGTGTCCTTGGGTGAGGAAAAAAAATATTGTTCTAATAATGTTGCTTGTAAAATAAAGTTTAAAAAACTGTAAAGATACAAAGTATATAAGGTAGTGAATATTCTATAGCAAAAAAAGTGGTGTGGATAGATAATATTTCCAAGGAGAGAGGTGTTTCCCAAGGCCGGAAGGTCACTGAGGCCAGGCCTTTGGGGGGCAGCTGTGGACTGGCCCAGAGGTGGGAGACTTAACATCCTCGGGTAGAGAAAACCTCTATGAGCCTTCTCTTCCTCTCCTTCATCTACCCTATACTCCTGTCCTTCCGGAGCTTTCGTAATCCACTCACACTATGCCTGCCTGAACTTCCTCTCCAGACCCAGCCTCTTACCCTGAGGACCCCACACTGCCCCCCACCTCAGGGTCTCTGCACAAGCCTATCCATCGACCGCAGTCCTCTTGGCTCCTACCTGACAGAGATCCAAACTTCTCTCTCCTGCCCGCTCAAGTCCATAAACTACCATGACGTTTCCCTGACTTTTTGAGCTCACTTTTTGAGTCTCTGTTTACCTGAAGTCTTAGAGTTGTTAGAATCTAAACACACAATTTGGAACATAACCATATATTCTCCAGTGTGGTTTACTATTCTATATCATCATTTTTAAGATGCATCACTACTTTTTGTATTCTCAAGAAAAAAATACTGCAAACGAAACTAGGACACGTCATCAGTTACACAATGCATCCACATTTCAGAGAAGTGAAAAATGTCTGTCTTAGGATTGATAAAATACAGTGATAGCCTTGTATGTCACATTAATAGAGTCGTCTCCTTAGTTTGATTTAAATCTCCATCAAGTGCTTCAAAATAATCCTGTGATTTTGGGGGAGTGTAGATGGGTGGGATTATAGATGAAACAAGATTGGCCGTTAGTTGATAAATCTTAAGGTAGATGGTGGGTGCACAGAGGTTCATTATAGTTGTCTACTTTTGTATATGTTCAAAATTTTCTCTGAAAAAACATTTATTTATTTATTTATTTTTGCTACAGATGTTTTTCCCTTTCCCCCCATTGACACCCTCCTCACCACTCCCCCTCCACCTTGACAGTATTGTTGTCTGTGTCCATTGATAACATGAAAAAACATTTTCTTAAAAGAACAACCTGGCCTGGTTGGTGTGGCTCAGTGGTTGAGGGTCCACCCATGCACCAAGAGGTTGCTAGTTCGATTTCCGGTCTCAGCACATGCCCAGCTTGTGTGCCATGTCTCCAGTGGGCGGCATGCAGGAGGCGGCCAATTGATGTTCTCTTGCATCGATGTTTCTCTCTCTCCCTCTCCCTTCTTCTCTCTCTAAAATCAATAAAGAAAAAAGAGAAAGGAAAGAAAAGAACAACCTCGATGAACCTTGACATTATGCTAAGTGAAATACTCCAGTCACAAAAAGACAAACACTGGAAGAGGTGCCTGGTGACTCAAATTCGCAGAAACAGAAAACAGAATGGTGGTTGCAGGGACTGGGGGAGGGTATGGGAACTGTTACTTAATAGGGACTGAGTTCCAGTTTCCAAGATAAAACATTTCCAGATATAGATGGTAGTGATGATTGTACAACAGCGTGAATATGTTTAACACTACTATACATTTAAAAATGGTTAAGATGATAAATTTTATGTTATGTATTTTCTACCACAATAAAAAAAGAAAAAGAAAAAGAACTGCCTGAAGCCAGAGACCCTTAACAATTCTTTTCCCTTTTTCATAGTGTCATAGTTCTGGGCACATAGTAGGAGCTCAGTAAATACCAGATGATTCTCTTCTACTCTCAAGTGTATTTGCTGATGTCCTCTATAACACTCAGTGCAGTGTGGATATAACATAAAAATTAGATATAGGGTTAGTTCTGTCCTCTTGACAAAAGGTTGGTATTTTCAGGGAGCTTAGTAGAACCTACGTTCCTTAGAGTATATGGCAACCAGAGTGGGTCCTGGTGTTTGCAGGGGCCTGCATGAGGAGGGGGACAGGAGGTGCTTGTGTGTAGGCACAAATCTCTCTCTGTGTGTGTGTGTGTGTATGCGCATGTGTGTGTAGATAGAGCTGCCCCTCCCATGTGTGGGTGTAAACTGGGTAAAAGTCCTTACAGCTAGAAATGAGCAGCTCTGCTCTGTGGAAAGGGAACATTTAGATCAAGTCTTGAGTTGGAAATAATGAACACTTTCTTCATCAGCTGAAATAACCTTCAGATGCTGTAAAATCCCTATCTGTCCTGTCTGCCCCTTACTGCCCATTGTCACTGCCTTGGTCACAGGCAGACAGCGGGAGACCTGGCAGACTCTTGAGAGCTCCAGCCACCTTGATCCTGCCCTAGTTGAAATGACAAGACAATCTTTAAGTCCCTTATTTTCAGAAATCTAAAGGCAGGCAGCTAAAGGGAAATAGGCACAGTCAGGGAATTACTCTCTGTGCTCAGGTGATTCTCTAACTTTTGAGTTGGGACTCGAGAGTCACCATCTCTTCCTACCAACTTTCAGGTCAAGATCTGATCCTCAGAGGGGAACCCGTGTCGTCATTTCTTAGTAGAAATCTTTCATTTCCAGTGACCTGTGGTCCATCTAAGAGTAAAAATCCCTGAGGGGGTTTTGGTTTCCTTTTCTTTTCTTAAAACAACAACTCACTGCTCATGCACTTTGTAAAGCATCGAGGAAAATGCAGAAAAGAAGAAGTTTCTAACCCTGGGCGGTGGCTCCAGTTCATCACAGTTGCAGAAACACAGGCAAATCTTTCCTTCCCTCGAGGCGTCTCTGTCACCAAACAGTCTGTACATTTCTTCTTCTTTGAGAGGCACCCTGATCATGTCAACCTGAAAGGCACAGGAGAGCTCACCCAGGGGAGCCGGGAGGAGGGCCCCTTGGGGAGGGCGGGGCGCAGGTGGACTCTGCTCACCTCCTGCAGCAGCTTGCGTTTCAGGCGATACACGTTCACGAAGGTGATGGAGCTGCAGCACTGGAAGATCTTCACTCCCGGGATGGTGATGATCTGCAAGACAGGCAGCAAGTTCGGAGAAACTTCTCAGCTCTTCCGGGAGTGAGGACAAACCTTTAGCACCTCCTGGAGACTAGTCCTTCTTATAAGAGGCAAGAACCAGCGAGGTCCTTCCTCCCGTTTTCACCCCTTGCTTTTCCTGCGGTCTTCTCTTGCCCCTCCCCATTTCCTCAGTCCTCTCTTTTGGCCTTCCACCCCCTAAAGTACATTTTATTTATTTATTTTTATCCTCACCCGAGGACATTCCTCCATTTTTGTTCAGACAGAGTGGGAGGGAGAGAGAGAGAGAAACATCGATGTGAAAGGGGCATATCGAGTGGCTGCCTCCTGCACGACCCAACCAGGGTGGGGGATGAATCGCAACCGAGGTATGTGCCCTTGACTGGAATTCAACGCTTGACTCATTGGTCTGTGGGCCGACACCCCAGCAGCCGAGCCAAACCAGCCAGGGCCCTAAAGTACATTTTAAAATGACCCTTGACTGGCTGCAGGACTCTAGGATTTGCCTGCCCCTTTAGGTTCCCACCTCGACCATTGGGCACCTCTCTCCCTGCCTTTGAGCGTGTCCGTGCCGCAGCAAAGCAACAGCAAAGGGATTTTGTAGAAAAATTAAGCAGCAGACCCGGTCCACCCCATCCTTTGGGCAAAGAAGTGGGACTGCTTTGGATTCTTACCTCCCGATAGTCATTGCAGCTTCTGTAAATGTTGGTGTTGGGGATCTGACCCAGGAGGAGAATATTAGTTCTGAAAGGAAACGCATTTGCCTTTAGGCCACAGCTGCCTCACCTGCCCAGCTAAGCCCGTGTTACCTGAGAGTAAGTACCTGTGTGACTGGACGGTGATCATGAAGAAGGCAAAAGCTATCGAAACAAGTAGTCCGATGTCCAGTCCCAGGAAAATTGCAGAACTGAATGTCACCATCCAAATAATCTTATGGAAAAAGGGGAAAGGGAGACCATGGCAACAAGCAGAGTGGAGAAAATCCGTTCTATTCCCCAGCTCCCCCTCACCGTTTCCCGCCAACACCTGGGATTTAGAGGACGGGCCCACAGCCGCGCGACCGATGCCACCACCCATGGCTGGCCCAAGGCTGCCGAGCAGTTCTATACGCCTCCTCGGTCATTTCTCTCTCTAATACTCTCTTGAAACTTGTTTCCTCACATGCAAAGTAGGGGTAGTAATAGCTACTTGAGAGGCTTTGTAGGAATTAGAAATGCCATTAGAAATGCTTTGTAAAGCAACCCAGCACTCCCACCAAATGGCAGACCTATAATAGTGATTGCAAACCTCTAACCTCCCTTTCAAGCCCTTCTCCGTCACTCTCAGCAGGTGACTTGACTCGAACCTCCACTGAGAAGATAGGCTGAAACTTCCCCAATGTTTGTTCCCAGCCACTTGTCAGCCAGTGTCTGCACTTGACTTCGCACACACACACACACACACACACACACACACACACGCGCACACGCGGTCCTGTGGGAAGGGCTCTCTCTCCTCCGACAGACAGGACAGACAGCCGGAAGCTCTGCCTGTGCCCTGGGCCACATACCCCCTTAGCTCCTCAGGGACCTGAATCCAAAAGTCATCCCCTTTTGCATCTCTTTGCCTCTACTGGGTCCTTCTTCTCTCATCGTATTACCCACCCCCATCTTTTATTTCTTGCTGTTTCCCCTTCCTGTGCCCCAGCTCTCTGCTCCCGAGAGAAGGAGAGTGATCTATCAGTTGCTCTGGTAGGACACCACCTTCTCTTATTAGGATTTGTGCCTCTGGGTTAAAAGTCACTCAAATATGCAATGCATGACGGACCCTTTATACTAAATTTGTGTGTAACTAAAGCCACTTCACCAATCCCTTCTAATTTAGTTTTGCGTAGTTGGAGTGAGGTCTCAGTATTTCTATGCACCAACCACTCTGACTCCCTGGGCAAAGCAGACGTAGAGAACTAGGTGTCAGCGTTGCTAGTGTCCTTCGCGGTGATGCCTTTTGTTCGTTCTTTCCCTCTGTCCAACCTTCCCCTCCCTCCGCCCCACCTCGGCCAGTACAGCAACACTCACACAGTCGTACTGGTTCTGCCTCCACAGACTGGGTAGGTAGTAAATGTTTTCAAGGTAGGGTATGACGTTGCTCACAATAATGCCCGCCAGCACGGCCTGTGGGGAAAAAAGAAAGCCGGCTTCATTTTCCCTTCGGGGGTCAAATCCCAAATCTTCACAAAGTAACCGCAAAACGTTAGCCTTGTCAGTCACAGATATTAGGCATTGATATTTCACAAAAATACCACATCTGTGCGTCAACTCATTGTCTCATCAAGTAAGTATTCTCCACATTTTTCTCTGCTCTCCTCCGTTATTTGTCAAACACATAAGCCAAGGCCCGGCCACGGCCACGGCCTGACCGCTTCAGCAGGAAAGCTGACAACAGGCCCCTGAGATCCAGGCAGTGGGAAGAAGAGTAGCCAGAGCTCGTAGTCCTGTGTTGGTACTGTTGCTTTTGGAGTATGGGACAGGACTCTCGGGGGCTGGCAGCTTTGGCTACTGGACATCTATGTCACTACGTTGCCTAGAACCATTGTCAGATGAGATGACAAAGTAAGGGAACCTCCATCCACAGGAACTCTAAAATTTCATCTGGGCTTTTGCTCAAGTCTAATCACGGTACACTATGATTATTTCAACAATGCGATACCACTTTTTTGGTCCGTCAAATCAAATTAGCAAATTGAAAACACCCCATATGTATGGTTGTTGAGTATAAAAGGGTGTGGTCTTTTTGGAAAATAATTCAGCAAAATATCAAGCTATACTGATATGTGTTCACACAGAAATTTTGTTTACTTTTTTTTTTAGTCCTCATCCAAGGATATTTTTTCCATTGATATTTAGATAGAGTGGGAGGGAGGATAGAAGAGGGGGAGAGAGAGAGAGAGAGAGAAACATTGATGCTAGAGACACATCAATTGGTTGCCTCCTGCATGACCCTGACCGCAATCGGGGATCTAACCTGCAACCCAGGTACGTGCCCTTGACTGGGAATCGAACCCGCGACTCTTTGGTCTGCCGGTCGGTGCTCCAACCACTGAGCCAAACCAGCCAGGGCAGAAATTTTGTTTACTTTTAGAAATCTGTCATAAATATAGAAAAGGGTAGATATACAAAATTACTCACTGTTGTGTTATTTATAATAAGAAAAATTCAGGCAACCTAATTTTCTAGTAAGAAGAGAACTAAATAAGTTATAGTATGAGGTATCATGCTATATATTAAATACAAACAAGAATACAAAGTTGTTTGTGCAGTTAGGTTAAAACTGTGCAAAGTAATATCCATTCACAGAAAATAATATTGATCAGAGATATGCCAAAATGTTAACAGTAGTTCATTTGTAAATGTGGATGACATTTTTATCTATTATGAATTTTCCAAAGTTTAAAAAAATAAGCATGTCTCCTTTTTTTTTTTTACATTTTTTTATTTTTATTTTTATTTTTATCCTCACCCGAGGACACCCTTCCATTCCTTGTTCAGATAGAGCAGGAGGGAGAGAGAAAGAGAGAGAAACATCGACGTGAAAGGGACACATCGAGTGGCTGCCACCCGCACGACCAACCAGGGCCGGGGACAAACTGCAACCGAGGTACATGCCCTTAGCGGGAACCGAACCCGGGTCTCTCCGGACCGCAGGCCGACGCTCTAACCGCTGAGCCAAACCGGCCAGGGCAAGCATGTCTACTTTTCTAACGGAAAGAAAATGTCTTAAATATGAGAAAATGAAAATCTATACTCATAGGACGTAAAAATCACCAGGGCCCTCAAGTAGAACTAACCTACTTTAAGAAACATTTTCTTGTGTTCACGAAGTCCCTGCATTGGCTTAACATTTCTCATCATCCTTTTCCTCATCATCCTCTCCTCTCTCTACTCTGCCTGGGAATCAGAAGTGGTCCCACCTCCTGGAATGGAGGTCCAGCCGCTGGTTTTCTGAGGTTACTCAGTGAGCAGTTGGACTCAACAGTAGAGGAGGGAAGAGCAAAGGTGAAGTTAGCAGAAATTACTTTTTCCCCATCTTGATTTTTTTTCCAGTCAGGAATCTCCAAATTTTCTCTAGGGAGACGTGGTGGGAAGGAAAAGAATCTCAACTTTGTAGGGTTTTTGCAAGATTTTTGGCATTTATCTCCAGATAGAGCAGGAAGGAGAGAGGGAGAAAGAGAGAGAGAAACATCGATGTGAGAGAGACATATAGACTGGCTGCCACCTACACAACCCCATGGGGCCAGGGACAAACTGCAACCAAGGCACGTGCCCTTAGCGGGAACCGAACCCAGGGCTCTCTGGTCCGTGGGCCGACGCTCTAACCGCGGAGCCAAACCGGCCAGGGAAAAACATGTATTTTCATTAACAAATAGACAATAAAAAATTTACCTTTCTGAATATTAAGGTTCGACATGCTCATGTGTAAAGAAGAATTAATCTTATATATAATTTCCATCATCCAAGAGATCACCGTTGTTAACATTTTGGTATGCTCTATATCTATGTTTTCACACAATTAGAAGCAATATTGAATATGCTATTTTGTGTCATGTTTTAAAAATTTTTTTGTGTTGGTCTCCTTGTTAACTAATTGAGATCCTAGCCAGGATGCTCCAACAATTCTTCCAATAAGGATTTTGCAACAAATTATTCATAGTCTTTGAAGGAAGAAAGGGATCTTTCATACTCATAGAGCCCGCTGTCTAGTATTCAGATACTCTACTACTGATCAGATGTATCCACATTTTCTCACCCAAAGCAGGGGCTGTTCTGTCTCTGACGTGTTTACAGTAAAGGAGTGCTACCCACTTTAATCACTGGCCTCCAGTGAATTCTGACAGATTTTTATGTTTGGAATTTTAAGAAAGTCTGATCCTGCCCTGGCCGGTTTGGCTCAAGGGTTAGAGCATTGGCCTGTGGTTCAGAGACCGGGTTCGGTTCCCGGTTCCCGTTAAGGGCACGTACCTTGGTTGCAGTTTGTCCCCGGCCATGGTGGTCGTGCGGGAGGCAGCCACTCGATGTGTCCCTTTCATGTCAATGTTTCTCTCTCTCTTTCTTCCTCTCTCTCCCTCCCACTCCATCTGAACAAAAAATGGAAAAATGTCCTCGAGTGAGGATTAAAAAAAAAAAAAGTCTGATCCTTCTAGCTATAAAGAAAAAAATGTCACTGTTCAAAGTAAATTAGTGAGTGGCTTTGCTAAAATAGATTCCAAGAGTGATCGCACCAAAGGTGCTATACACACTAAATTCTGGAGACGACTTCTATTGGGAATCGGGAGGACAGCTTGTGTGATAAACACAAGCTTAATCCCACCCCCCAGGCGTGGATTCCATGGCTGGGGTCCAAGATCCCCGAATCCCAAGAGCAGAAGGCAGTAACGGCCTCGAGGTGGGCCTGCTCTGCGGCAACCCGATATTCACCAGGGGCAATGGCCATGTTCAAAAGAGTGGGTTACCGTTTACAACGGCTCCAGCTTCAGGGACTGCCACCTCCGTGTGTGACCAAGCTGCAACACCAGGAATGAAACCTCCTCCCATCATCCTTAGTACCATCTAAAAATGGCTCACCTGTTGGAGCTTTAGCCTCTGACTTGAAGGGTCGTGGGTTTGATTCTGGTCAAGGGCATGTACCTGGGTTGCAGGTTTGATACCTGACCCCAGTCAGGGTCGTGCGGGAGGCAGCCAATCAATGTGTCTCTCACAGCATTGATCTCTCTCCCTCCCTCCCTCCCTCCCTTCCACTCTCTCTGAAAATCAATGGAAAAATATCCTCCGGTGAGGATTAACAAAAAAATAAATAAATAAAAATAAAAATGGCTACAGAGAACATTAAAAAAATTTTAAAGGAAATTATGGTCACTGAGCATTGATCTCTATTGTTACTTAAAACAAGTTGATTAGAGCCAGTGATTAATGCACCTGGAATCTCGCAATGCCAGGTGGTCAGTCAGTCTCACACAAAGGGAAGAAATGGCACATAAGTATTTAGGAGCATCCTAGCTGAACACAGTTATAACTCAACTTTTGGACCCTGCCATTTAATATTGTAAACTAACCAGAGACAGTGTGGAAGCGAGAGAGGGATGGGTTCACGCACATGCAAAACAAGGCCTTCTGGAAGCGGCTTAGGAAGCCAGATGGCATGAATGCACAGTTTCTAAGCCTGTGTCGGTAATGGGCGTTCTGGCATCTGAGGTCTATTTTGGTCATCTCTAGCTGGATCCTTACTTGTAAAGCTCACTTTAGTTTAGAGCATAAGCAATTAAAAGAAGGTTACTGAGAATAATAACAATAATGACTAATGTTTCTTGAGTGCTTGTTATTAGCTCGACCCTCTTCTCTATTATATACAATATCTTATTTAGCTCCATCCTGAGAGGTAGATGTTGTTATTGTAAAGGAAAGGGACTAGAGAGCGGCTGGGGCAGCCTGTGGGGACATGCTGAGGACAGTTCTGCGGAGATACCCGCCAAGATGCAATCTGGACACCTGGTTTTCTGGGCTCGGTTATTCGATCAGCTCCACTTACATTTGGCAGTTTGTAGAAGAAGGGTCCCACCTTCACCATCAGGAGCAGCATCACACCTGCTCCTACCAGAGATGCAAACTGAGGAGAGAGAGGCGGTTGGAGAGAGACCATCAGGAGCGTACTGGGCCCTGCCAGCAGCGGAGACCTTCCGCTCGGTGAGAAGCACGTCAGGTTTTCTTGGGAGGAGTTGAGTGTAACCATCCAGCATGCATGCGTTTCTGCCGAGCTGACATTGTCAGGTCTTGTCAAAGTGCTAAACGCACGCTAGTACTAGCACACACCGTGGAGCGAACGCAGGACTGGAAGCTTCCCCGTTGTCCCGGGTCTTTGAAACTTCACTGCCATAGCTTTTTGCCATGAACCTGCAGCTCCTGAAACCCGGCGTGCATTCCCTCCTGGCTTTAACCTCTCCTTGAACAGTTTAGAAAATTCCCTCGTAGAATCATCACTGTCAGCCCTGAAATCCCAACCATTCCACTTCCCACATCAATAAAAACCCACCCCTCACCCCTGGAACGTGGGACAAGGCAAGGAGGCCAGTCCTTGGAAGCAGAGAAAAGGAAAGGAACCCACTTGGGGAGAACAGGGAAACACAGTGCTCAGGGCTGCATAAGCGGGAAGATGGAGTGTGGACAGTCCCAGTGGCCACAAGCCCGGGGCTCTTCACATCCCCTCTGTCAAGGGCCTGCCAACACCTCAGGCCCAGGTCACGGCTGGAAGGGCTGATTGGTTTTGCCGCAACCAGTGAAGGCAAGTGGGTTCTAGACAGGGAAAAATTAAAGAGAAATGCAGACATATATACACAGCTTCTTATTCTATGCCAGGCAAAAAATAAATAAAGCTGCCCTTGGTGGCAGGTCATGTCTGAGAGGTTCTGAGCCAGAGCCCCAGCTTCTCTGTCATCCAAAGGAATGCCAAAGAAGTAGAGGTGTTCTCAGAGAGATCGGAAGTCCCCCCAGAGAAGGGGTGGAGAGGGCACCACTGCTGTGCGACAGGGAAGCTAAACCAGTCTCAGAGGCCTTTGTCCAGGTCAGAAACTCCACATGGAGGCTGGGCAGCTCCGGTGTGTAGGGCCAGGGCTAGCAACAACATTCTCTGCTTGAACCAGGGGTTTGCACTGGGCAAGTCAGAGTCTCAGGGAAGGGTTTACCAGCATCCCCAGACACCTACTCCCAGGAGGGGTCCCTGCACCGCAGAGAGAGACGTCATTGGTAAGGGAGTGTGCTGCGTGGGAGAACAATGCCGTGGCAGAGAAGTCTGGGAGCCATGGGCTGCTTTGAGGCAGGCGCTCTGTCCAGCAGGCGCTCTGTCCAGCAGGTGCTCTGTCCAGCAGGTGCTCTGTCCAGCAGGCACAGGCAACTCCCAGGCTGAACTGAAGCCCTTCTGCCTTCCCTCCATCTATACACATCTAACCCTCCTTTAAAAATCCATGGACTTCCTCCATCATTCTCCTTCTTGCAATATTTATGGCACTTTTTATTTATTGTACGTATTCTGCATTTAGTTTCACTTGCACTGTGATTTAGTTTTTCCCAACTGTGTTCGTCTTTTCTCCCCAAACCTATGTTATGCTTGTATACTGAATCGACAACATGTGTTGTCATAAGTTACTGGGAACTAAAGTCTGGAATTGCCATTTCCATTTCTTCTTATCATAAAACCCTCTCATGTGACTTCAAAGTATTTTTGCTCTTGCATCGAACATCCTTCTTTTTAACATAACCCAGCTTCCTTTTTTCATTAAAGAGTGGACAGGGCTGCTCCTTAAAGCCAGCGTGACCGTGACCACGAGGCTCAGTCCACAGGCTGATAGGCTATGGTGTTCCTCTAGCCCTGCGCTCCTGCCCCTGCCTGATCTTTTGAATTTTATTAAATTTCACCTTATATTTCACCAGTTTTAGCCATGGACTGTGACACTTTATCTTCCCCCATTAAAATTTAGTGTCGATTCTTCTGACACTTGTTTCTGATCTGAAGAGAGTCTGACCTAGATAATTTTCTCTTATACATGGTAGAATGGCCACAAATTCCATAGGGTCATCTAACAAAGCCCTGGTTCTTCATCGTGAAAGCCCCTTGCCCTTTAGGGAGCCAGGAAAGTCTCTAGTTTGGCTGCCAGGATAGAGTTGAATAATTGCTTTCCTGCGCTAGGACTGAAAATATATCTCCCATAGAAAACAATATTAATAAGTGATAGTTAGTTTACCTGAAATATTATCTTTTAGGTATGTTACATGGAAAATGGGTGTGTGTGTGCGTTTTCTTTTGCAAGCTTCTCACATGGAATGATACTTCTACAGAAAATAATTTTCGGACTTCCGGTCAAGAGGGCGGTAGGTAAACGGGTATCGCGTCCTCCCACAACCACATCAAAGTTACGACTAAACTACAGAACAACAACCATTCAAAACTGCCTGAAATCAAGCTGAATGGAAGTCCTACAACTATGAAATTTAAGATGTCACTTGGAGACTGGTAGGAGGGGCGGAGGTGTGGATGGGCTGGTCCCACACCCACGTGTGGCAGATATAACTCAGGAGGACACCTCGGCTGGGAAGGTCCTCCCTGAGGAGTGAGGGGTCCCCATCCCACACCAGGTGCCCAGCTCAGGGTTCCAGAGCCAGGAAGAGAATCCCCATAACTTCTGGCTGGAAAAACCAGCGGGAACTGAGGCTCAGGGAAGCTGAAGCGGCTGGAGTCCCAGGCAGTTCCTCTTAAAGGGCCCGCGCATGGATTTACTTGGACCTGCACCCTCCAGGCTCCCGTGCAGAGGGGAGGCAGCTTGAAAGGCAACAGAGACATATGGGGAAGAACTAAGTTGTTTGGCATTGGGGTGAGGGCTGGAGAGGCAGCTTTCTCCTGGACAGACATGCTGGTGAGGCCTTTGATCCTTTGGTGAGGCCTTCTCCCATGAGGCCAGCAGACAGAAACCATATCTAGGACTCCAGCAACCTGGATCCCACTATTTTCCCCACTCTGGTGGTTCCCTGAGGCTCCACCCCACCCAGCTTTTAGGCCCACCCAAGCTATTTCCAATGGCTTTACCATAGGACTGGCCTGTCTTGGATCCTGCATCAGATTTTCCTAAATTCTTTCAAACAAGCAGCATCTGGTCTCAGCGAGCCCCATACCTCTCATTAAGTGACCCCATGTCTGGCACTAGTAGCAGCCAGCCTTAGTTCACAACTTGGCTTTGCCTGGGCACCTCTAAGTCCAGCACAAGAACTAGCCATCTACAGACTGCTTTGTAGCTTATGCCTGGTGGCCCTGGGTAGAACACAGGCAGTGGCTGACCTGGCCCCAGAGCAAGAACACCCAGTGGACAGCTTCAGAACACTGAGAAGCACCACCACCCAAGCACCTCCACAAGTGACACACTTAAGGAATGGACTCAGTGGATACCAGAGCCTTGCTGAAGTAAGTCTTGCTCTGTATGGGGGGGCCCCTGCACAGCTGATCATCCAAGGTAGTCAGGGGTCAGTGGATAGTCCTTGCACAACCAGTCCTTACAGCTAATCAAACTGAGTAAAACCCTCATTGATTTGCCAACAGCAATCAAGACTCAATTACAACAGAAGGGTATAAAGTCCACATGAGGGGTGCAGCTCGAGGGCCCAAATGGAAGACCAGGGAGGCTGTGCCACTGGACCCTATAGGACACTTACAACAATAGGCCACCATAGGAAGCCCAGGAGACATAGCAACTCTACCTAGTACACAGAAAGGCAGCCAAAATGAGGAGATAAAGAAACATGTCCCAAATGAAAGAACAACAAAACTCCAGAAAAAGAACTCGACAACATGGAGATAAGCAACCTAACAGATGCAGAGTTCAAAATACTGTTTATAAGGATGCTCAATTAACTTAGTGAGAACTTAAATGAACTTAGTGAGGGCCTCAAGAGCATAAGAAAAGATCAGTCAGAAACAAAGGAGGCACTAACTGAAATAAAGAATGATTTACAGAGATTCAACAGTAGAGTAGTTGAAGGCAAGAAGCAAACCATCAATTTGGAATATAAGGAAACAAAAAACACCCAATCAGAACAGCCAAAAAAAAAAAGAATTCAAAAAAATGAGTATAGTGTAAGGAGCCTCTGGGACAACTTCAAGTGTGCCAACATTTGCATCTTGGAGGTACTAGAAGAAGAAGAGAGAGAACAAGAAATTAAAAACCTATTTGAAATAATAATAACAGAAAACTTCCCTCACATTGTGAAGGAAACAGACATACAAGTCCAGGAAGGGTCCCAAACAAGATGAACTTCAAGATACATCAAGACACACCATCATCAAAATGCAAAAGGTTCAAGACAAAGAGAGAATCTTAAAAGCAGCAAGAGAAAAACAGTTAGTTACCTACAAGGGAGTTCCCATAAGACTGTCAGCTGATTTCTCAAAAGAAACTTTGCAGGCCTCAAGGGATTGGCAAGAAATATTCAGAGTGATGAAAAGCAAGAACCTACAACCAAGATTACTCTATCCTGCAAAGCTGTCATTTAGAATTGATGGCCATATAAAGAGTTTCCCAGACAAGAAAAAGCTAAAGGAGTTCATCACCACCAAACCATTATTATATGAAATGTTGAAGGGTCTTCTTGAAGAAAAAGAAAATAAAAAATATAAACAAAATGGCAATAAATACATATCTATCAACAACTGAATCTACAAACAAGATGAACAAGCAGAACAGAAACATTCTCATAGATACAGAGAACATTGTGTTGGTTGCCAGATGGGAGGGGGATTAAGGGAAGGGGTGCAAAAGGTGAAGGGATGAAGGACAAATTGGTTGTTAGACTGACAAGCCTCAAAGGGAAGGTGGGGGGGAGGGTGGGAAGAAATAAACCAAAGAACTTATGTACATATATAATGGACACAGACAGCAGTGTGGGGAAAGACAGGAGGGGGACGGGAGTGGGGAGGAGGGTTCAATGGGGGAAAAAGGAGGAACATCTGTAATATATTTAACAATAAAGATAAGTTTAAAAAAAAAATTCTCAAGTTTTACATTGACAAATGGCTTTTTAAGACAAAATCTAAGCAAAAATTAAGGCAAGCAGAAAATCCAGATTCTTCCAAGAGATCCTCTCCAACAAATATAATATAAGAACAGCAACATGATTAAACTAACGCAATCCTTTTTGATGAATATACATGACTAGACATAAACATATTTATATGCTAGAGATCAAAATCTATTTCAACATACCTGTTGTCTTCCTCCAGATTTATCTTGGATAATAGTCCTGATAACACCACCAGTAAACACATAAGATCTGAAAAATGAGCTGACGACATTGCAAAGGCCAATGGTTATTAAATCCTATAAAGAAATGGAAAACAATTTAGGCCCACTATTTGTTGAGGAATGATGATTTCAGTTTGAACTGAAGGTATATTATTTATTTCTTGTGTATGAGGATAGGGTGTTTATATCACTTCAATTAACACTGAAATTTTCTTAGAAGAACAAAAGGATGGCAAACTGATTTCTAGATTAGGATGAAACTTCATTTTAGCTAGTGATCACAAGGGAAGAATTTTTTCAAAGTGAGAAATGAGATTTTGCCTTCCGATTTCCTTTCTCATGATCACTAGGACTAGTACTATTTTTCTCTCTGTCTTCTTAACTATCCTAGAAGTCGAGTGGAACACCTTAAGCTTTCACATTTCCTTTTTCAGTCCTAGGGAGAGGACCGAACTCAGAATAGTTGGAGATTTTCCAACAATTAAAAAAAAAAAAAAAGACAAGAACTATTTTTGGGAGATTGACTTCATTATATTAATAGCCTGGCTTGGCTATTCCATATAATTTCTTATTGCACCTCAGAATGTGGTTGACTTCTAAGGACTTGGTGGAGAGGAAGACGAAGTTAAGAGGAGAGGAAATCCACAGCTCAACGACATGATGACACATGCTATCTTCTTGCAACTTTGCACTATATCTGTTCTAGGAGCATAACACCCACGTTCATTCAGGTGGGTTCAGAGTTCAGTGTGTCACACTCCTCAAATATCCTTTGGTAATTATAGTTCAGATTATGGTCCAAGTGATTCTCCGGTTACAGAAGAATCTAGCCTTCATGTTAACAGGAGGCTCAGATGAGAGAACAAAGGGTCAGAGGAAATAATGGAAAGGCCTGTCCTCTTACCTGGTTGAAATTGATATTATAGTTATGGAAATTGCCAAACTTCCTGCCCAGAAATATGAGCAGCGCGGAGCTCACTAGAGCTAAGGAGAAGGCATCTAAAATGATTTCCCGAATATTGTTCAAATCTGGATTTACAGGAAACAGGAAGCTGGAATAAAATGGTGGAATTATTCCTGTAGATCAGGAAACGTTTGTTGGCACCTCCCCCACGTCATCCTTATGATACAGGGCAGGCCTGATGCACACACACACACACACACACACACACACACACACACACAAATGCAAGAGATAACAATCAAGGCAGCAGCCTGCCAAAACTGCCAGCAAACTAAGCCAAATTACAAAAGCCATAAGGAGAACATGCTCTGCTAGCCTCTAATTCAAGGTTTCTGCCATGTAGGAGTGGGAACAAACAGAACAGGCAAAACCACAAAGATCGAAGAGAAATGGTTTATTTACACTATTTGAGGCCACACCATTGGGTAAACAATAGGCAGATATCACATCTAAGATGGTTTAGAGCCCAAAAGCTCAGTGAATTCCCTTTTACTCATGATCAAATCTTTCAGATTTGCAAATATTTTCTCTTATTCTGTGGGTTACTTTTTTACTCTATTGTGTCTTTTGATGTACAAAAGTTTTTAATTTTCATGAAGTTTAATTTGTGTGTTTTCTTTTGTTACCTCTGCCTTCGGTGTCACACCCAAGACATCACTGCCAAATCATATGTCATGAAGCTTTTGCCCTGTTTTCTTCCAATAGTTTTATAGTTTTAGGTCTTGCATTCAGGTGTTTAATCAACATTATTTAAAATTTTTTTTTCTTTTTTGATTTTAGAAAGAGAGGAAGGGTGAGGGAGAGAGAGATAGAAACATCACTGAGAGAGAACATAGATTTGCCCCGCCCCCAATGGCCCCAACTGGGGATTTGGCCCACAACCTGGGCATGTGCCCTGACTGGGAATTGAACCGGTGACCTCTTGGTGCATAGGTTGAAACTCAATCACTGAGCCACATCGGCCTGCCTGTTTGATCAATTTTGAGACAATATTTGTATATGATATTAGGTAAGAGTCCAACTTTATTCTTTTGCATATGGATATCCAGTTTCCCCAGTGCCATTCATTGAAAAGATTGTCCTTTCCCCATCAAATGGTCTTGGCTTCCTTGTCATTTGACCATATATGCAAGAGTTTATTTCTGAGCTCTCCATCCCATTCCATTTTTCTGTATGTCTGTCTTTATGCTTGTACCACACTGTTGTGTTTTTTTTGGTACGTGCCCCTAGCGGGAACTGAACCCGGGACTCTCTGGTCCGCAGGCCGACACTCCAACCACTGAGCCAAACTGGCCAGGGTTACTGTTTTTGATTACTGTAGCTTTGTAGTAAGTTTCAAAATTAGGAAATGTGAGTCCTCCAACTTTGTTAATCCTTTCCAAGATTGCTTTGGCTATTTGGGGGCTCCTTGGGATTCCATATACATTTTAGAATTTTTTTTTTCGTGCAAAAAACTTCATTGGGATTTTGATAGAGATTGAATTGAATTTGCTGACTGCTTTGCATAGTATTGACATCTTAACAACATCCAATCCATGAACATGGGATGTATTTCCATTTATTTAGATCTTCTTTAATTTCTTTCACCTCCTTGGTTAGTTTTTAAGTATTTTAAAGTGCTGTTGATCCTTTTCTTGATGCTGTTGTAAATAGAATTGTTTCCATAATTTCCATTTCATATTTTTCAGTTATGTTACTATTTACATGAAATATGTTCCCCCATCAATTCACTTTTACACTGTTTGTGTCTTTGGATCTAAACTGTGACTTTTGCAGACAGCATATGGTTGGATCATGTGTTTTTATTCATTCTGCCAATCTCTGTCTTTTGGTTGGAGAGTTTAATCCATTTACATTTAAAGTAATTACTGATGAGGAGGAACTTCTGTAATTTTGCCATTTGTTTTCTACATGCCTTATAGCTTTATTGTCCTTTATTTCCTGCATTACTGTCTTCTTTTGTGTTTCATTTATTTTGTTTGTTTCTTTTCTTTTTTTAAATTATTTATCTTTATTGTTGAATATATTACAGATGTTCCTCCTTTTTCCCCTATTGACCCACTCCTCCCCACTCCTGCTCCCCTCCTGCCTTTCCCCACACTGTTGTCCGTGTCCACTGGTTATGCATATATACATATAAGTTCTTTGGTTTATTTCTTCCCACCCACCCACCCCCCTTCCCTTTGAGGCTTGTCAGTCTAACAACCAATTTGTCCTTCTTCATCCCTTCACCTTTTGCACCCATTCCCTTAATCCCCCTCCCATCTGGCAACCAACACAATGTTCTCTGTATCTATGAGAATGTTTCTGTTCTGTTTGTTCATCTTGTTTGTAGATTCAGTTGTTGATAGGTATGTATTTATTGCCATTTTGTTTATATTTTTTAATTTCTTTTTCCTCAAGAAGACCCTTCAACATTTCATATAATAATGGTTTGGTGGTGATGAACTCCTTTAGCTTTTTCTTGTCTGGGAAACTCTCTATATGGCCATCGATTCTAACTGACAGCTTTGCAGGATAGAGTAATCTTGGTTGTAGGTTCTTGCTTTTCATCACTCTGGATATTTCTTGCCAATCCCTTGAGGCCTGCAAAGTTTCTTTTGAGAAATCAGCTGACAGTCTTATGGGAACTCCTTTGTAGGTAACTAACTGCTTTTCTCTTGCTGCTTTTAAGATTTTCTCTTTGTCTTGAACCTTTTGCATTTTGATGATGATGTGTCTTGGTGTGGGCCTCTTGGGTTTCATCTTGTTTGAAACTGTCTGTGCTTCCTGGACTTGTATGTCTGTTTCCTTCACCAAGTTAGGGAAGTTTTCTGTCATTATTGTTTCAAATAGGTTTTTAATTTCTTGTTCTCTCTCTTCTCCTTCTGGTACCCCCAAGATGCGAATGTTGGCACACTTGAAGTTGTCCCAGGGGCTCCTTACACTATCCTCATTTTTTTGAATTCTTTTTTCTTTTTGCTGTTCTGATTGGGTGTTTTTGTTTCCTTATATTCCAAATCAATGGTTTGCTTCTTGGCTTTACCTACTCTACTTTTGAATCTGTGTAAATTATTCTTTATTTCCGTTAGTGCCTCCTTTATTTCTGACTGTGCATCCTTCATTTCTGACTGGTCCTTTTTTATGCTCTTGAGGCCCTCACTAAGTTCATTTAAGTTCTCACTAAGTTCATTGAACATCCTTATAAGCAGTGCTTTGAACTCAGCATCTGTTAGGTTGCTTATCTCCATTTTGCTTAGTTCTTTTCCTGGAGTTTTCTTCTGTTCTTTCATTTGGGACCCATTTCTTTGTCTCCTCATTTTGGCTGCCTCTCTGTGTTTGTTTCTATGTATTACGTAATGAGAGGTACTTAGCTGAGACCAGATGCTGCTTATTTGAAAGAATTTAGGAAAACCTGAAGCGGGATCCAAGACAGGCCAATCCTATGGTAAAGCAACTGGCAACAGCTTGGGTGGTCTGAAAGTTGGGTGGTGCGGGGCCTCAGGGAATCACCGGGGCGGGGAAAACAGGGTAAGCCAGGTTGCTGGAGTCCCAGATATGGTGGCTGTCTGCCACCCCAGGGGAGGGCTCATCAAAGGAACAAAGGCCTCTGACAGCACATCTGTCCCGGAGAAATCCCCCTCTCCAGCCCTCACTCCAATGCCAAATAGCTCAGTTCTTTTCATATATTTCTGATGCCTTTCAGGTTGCCTCCCCCATGCTGAAGCCCAGAAGGAGCGAGTCCAAGTAAGTTTGTGCGTGGGCCCTTTAAGAGGAGCTGCTTGGGGCTCCCACAACCTCAGCCTCCCTCAACCTCAGTGCCTGTTGGTTTTATTGCCAGAAGTGATGGGGATTCTCTTCCTGGCACTGGAACCCTGAGCTGGGTGCCTGGTGTGGGACGGGGACCCCTTACTCCTCGAGGAAGACCTTGACAGTCGAGGTACCCTCCTGATTCACACGTGGGTATGGGAACAGCCTGTCTGCCTCTGCCCCTCCTACCAGTCTCTGCTTCTTTAATTCCGTAGTTGTAGGACTTCCATTCAGCTTGATTTCAGGCAGTTTTGAATATGGTTGTTTTGTAGTGTAGTTGTAACTTTGATGTGGTTGTGGGAGGACGGGATATCGCGTTTACCTACCGCCATCTTGACCGGAAGTCTGTTTCTTATCATGTGTTTATTCTTTTGTTTTCTTTATTAAGTTACAGTTGACAAAATTGTAAGGTCTTTAAAATGTACTATGTGGGGGGATGGGGATGAGGGTGTCAATGAGGGAAAAAGGAGAAACATCTGTAACAAAAACAAATTAATTAAAAAATGTACAATGTGATAATTTGATATTTAGTTGATTTTTTGTTGTGAAGTTTTCAAGTTCCTTCCTAATTTTCATTTGTGTATATTCTATAGCTACTTCCCTTGTAGTTACCATGGTGATTACATTTCATATTCTAAAGTTATAACACTCTGGCCCTGGCCGGTTTGGCTCAGCGGTTAGAGTGTCAGCCTGTGGTCCGAAGAGACCCGGGTTCGGTTCCCGCTAAGGGCATGTACCTCGGTTGCAGTTTGTCCCCGGCCCTGGTTGGTTGTGCAGGTGGCAGCCACTTGATGTGTCCCTTTCACGTTGATGTTTCTCTCTCTCTCTCTCCCTCTCTCTCCCTCCCACTCTATCTGTACAAAAATTGGAAAAATGTCCTCGGGTGAGGATAAAAAATAAAAAAAAATAAAGTTATAACACTCTGATTAGAAGGTATACCAGCTTACCTTCAATAACATACAAAAATTCTGTTTCTTTACCGCTCTATCCCCACTCCTTTTGGTTATTGATGTCACAAAATTACATCTCATACATTGTGTTCTCCAAAACATAAATAATTAGTTTAAATGCATTAGTCTCTTAAATTATGCAGAAAACAAAATGTGGAGTTACAAACCATTGTAACAATAATAGTAACTTTTATAATTGTCCAGTATTTACTTTTATTGAGATATTAATTTCTTCACACAGTTTCAAGTTACTGTCTAGTGTCCTTTCATTTTACCTTGTAGGACTTCCTGGAGCATTTGTTGCAGGGAAAGTCTAGTGGTAATGAACTCCCTCCGTTTTTATTTATCT